ATCTGTTTTTACATTTTATTACATATTCAACCAAGTATGCAACTTTGGTGTTATCAGTGCAATATTTATCACTATTGCTATAAAGAATTCGTGAAATAAATGTATCTCTTAATAAAGTACGTAAGCTAACTAACAAAATTCTTATAGATGGTAGAATATTCATTACTATGTCGAAATTTTTTGGCCCTAATGTGCCTGCTACTTTGGTGACAGTAACTAATATGATAGGACCAGGAGGTCCGCTCTTACGTCCGTATCCAGATTGGAGTTGGCATAATAGGAGTTGTATGTGCGATGGTATTGTAAATGTTATCCGAGTGCATGTATGTATATTAATATCTTTCTTTTAAAAGGTTATCACATCTTATATCATTTATACCTCACATGTTTAGTGGTTTATTATGTATTACGCATATCTATTCCTTACGAAAAAAAAACATGTTAGGATTCAATGTTACTACTAATAGTAACAAAATATTGGTCAACTGTAATTTGACGAATAGGAATGGGTATTAATTATTTATTACTAATTAATGTTAAAATGAACAAACAAAAGAGGCAGCCGATTCACGACGAGGACACTCGTTACTTCGTCATGAAAGATAACTCTGTAATTGTCGGTCATGAAAATAAACGTGAGTTTAACGGAATAAAACTATTATTTTATCTTTTATTCTTTGGTCCGTACAGATAACACAATTTCTAAAGCAGTAACCATTTCCGGTATCTTACAAGTTTAAATCATAAAATAAATTAGTCTCTCCAATCATTTCTATTCACAACTCAATGGTTACATTTTATCGTCAATCGTTACTATTGAGTTATAATAGTAATCATTGGTTCACTTAATCATACTTTTAAACGTCAATGGCTTCCATTGAGAATTTAATTATTACTATTAGTAATCCAATAGTTACTATTTGTCAATCAACAGTTTAAGAGTTACCATTGGCTCCCAATCATATTTTTTCATAAGGGATATATGTATATGCACATACAACAGTTAGCTTAATAATAAATGTATGAAATACAATTTTTACTTACATTTCAGATTCAGTGCAATTATATCTTCGTTCTGGATATTGGTACAATCGTAACTGATCAAGTTTGTAATCCAAAACTATTGATCTTTGATTTAGAAGATGATACATTAGTTAAAACTATTTACATCCCACTTGATTATTTTAATAACCGAACAGATGAATTATTGGCACTGCCTTTCGTTTATTTTCCCAAAGAATGCATAGGATTTTTGAATAAAATGATTGTTAGTCTTCTTTTAATAATACGTTTCATTTTAATCGTAATAGTACAAAATCCGTCATATTGTATCTATATTTTGCAATTTAAATAATTTAATGTATACATAAATACACAGGTGTTTATGGTTGACTCGGGAGGTTACGGTTTAGTGGTGTATGATGTATCTAGAAGGCGTATGTGCAGAGTCGAATCTGATTATATGAAACCGACTGATAGTTCCTTCTCTATAGCAGGCAAAAATTTTACGATAAGTTACGGTATCCATGGTACGACAATCATTGGTGACGGCAAGTACTCGCTTTTTAACAATAGATATTATTTCAATTGTAATTCTCGTAATTTTTAATATACTTCTTACTATACATCTTACTATACATAGCGTTGTTAAGAATTTTAACTTCAATTTTAAATAACTGATGCAACATTCTCATTTGTAATTTTTTTTTTTATGTTTTAATATCAATATTCATATATATTTTCGTTTTTCTGTTTATTATATAATAATGATTCAGAAAATATAGGAAACTTTCTTGCAAATAATCATTAGTATTTTGGTATGATTTCTATGATTTTTTCATATTTCTTTTATAATTATTTTAGATTTTTATTATGCTCCTTTATCGGGAAAAGAAATATATAAGATAAGTGTAAAAACGCTATTAAAATGTCCAAATAAAAAAGAGGCTAATAAACAAACTGAACTCGTGATTAAATTATCAAGTCAACCAACAGAGCTTACATCAATGGGACATTCAATATTTTATAGCCTTACTCATGAAATGTCTATTGTAGGCACGAACGTTTATAAGGAATCTGATAATAATACGGTAAGATATTCGAATGCAATTATTCTTTATATATTCATTGATAGTAAACTGTTTCAAATTCTATTAACGATTGTTTCATTTAATAATTGATAATACGTTTTATCTCTGTAAATAAAATGTTAATTTTAAGGTGGTCCTCGCACAAAATGAAAAATTTCAATCTATATGTTCGATAGACGTTTTAAATTATTGGGGTAAGCTAATGAGTCTCTCAAATAGCTTTCACCGTTTCGTTCTTGATACAGTACGTCTAGATGAAATAAACTTCCGCATTTTTGAAATGGACTTAGCAAAAATTCAGAAAATTATGGATCAGCTCTAAGAATGTATGTTGTATTTTTTGCATTAATACAATATATCTAAATACGTTATATAAAAAAAGTTTGTCTTTTACGTAATATTTTATGCACCACCTTTTATGGTATGTTTAAAATTTATCATCAAGTTGTTTAAAATTTCACTCCTTTATAATGTCTTCTAAATATACACGAAGAAAATTTTCTTTTAAAATTTACCCTGAAAATATGGTAGTTGTGATACAATACAATATTTTAAAGATTTTTACCATGCACTTTAGTAAAATTGATCAAACATATTTTATATTTCATTATAGTTTTATTAATGAATGAAAGAGATTTACATTAAAATTCTTCGAAATACAATGTTGTCCCACGATTATCATATTTTCAAGGTAAATTCTAAGATAAAATTCTCTTCGTGTACTAGAGAGGTATTAAACTTAAATTATAATTTAATAATTATATTAAAAAAATAGAAGAAACATCAACTTGAATCATTTTTCAACATAATCTCCTAAATTTTCAATATATCTCAAGTGTAAAATAAAATAATAACATAAATAAAATGTAGACGAATTTTCGAGAAGCAAACGCATTTCACGGCTTGGATACATAGATATTAGAACGTTCTTTATCGATTTTGATATTGTACTTCTCTGGTGTCGAAATTTAAGATAAAAGCAAATAGTGTGCTGCCATATGATTGGATCACGTGAAGTTTTAAGAAACAAAGGTCGTATATTCTATCGGTTCAAAAGATTGATTGGAAGTCTTGCGATGTCATGCTAAACGTGTACATATCAGCCGCGATTATTAATAAAGAAAAATAATAAAAAAGTTACATCTCTATTCTTTATCTCACATTATACGTCTACAAAAATAATAAAGATATTGTCTGTCTTTGATGGCTTCAGGTAGGTAAGACATTGTACTATATACTACAGTTATTATTTAAGCGTAATATCCCAGATAACAAAAAGTGTCCAAAATCGGATTTTTGCGTCTAAAAGACGACTTATGTCATAATTTTAGATTTTGTGTTGTTTGAGATATCATGAGTTATCTATAAGCTACAATAATACCAATTTGAGAGACTTTTAATGAGGCTACAATAATGATTGGGTTATATAATGAGCAATAAACAAGTTTAGTGGCTCGATTTCAAAATAATATCATAAAGAGAGCATACACCACTACGCAAGGTCTTAGAAGCGAATAATAAAGATTTATTAATTTAAAACAATAAGATAAAGTATAAACGTTTCGGACTTAATCAGACCATCTTCAGTATAAAAAAATAACTTAGTACAATTTTTAAATTAAATTAACATAATATATGAAAGGATATAAAAAATACAACTTTTGTTATGAAATACGCTCGTTTCGTTCAGATATGTTTAAAGAAGTAATCCTTTTTTTTTTAAATAAGATGTTCAAGAATTTGATTGTTACTCGACGCATAAATTTCCAAATTCTATTATGTATAAATAATATTTCTTAGTATAAATTTATAAACATTATTCTAATTAAATAATCGTAAGAAAGTATTACACATAGTCATTATATTCTATACCTATAAATTTAGGTAAAGATAAATTTAAAAACAGAGCAAAGGAATGTTATTTATAAAATTAGCTGTCTTGATTGTAATGCTTCATATATGGGACAAACAAAACGGAAATTAAAAATTAGGATACAGTAACACAAAGCTAATATAAAAAAAATCCACAGATTCATTATCAGCAGTTTTCTCTTCATCAAGTGGACCATAAACACAACTTAAATTGGGATAATATTTAAATATTAGACTCTGAACTATCTTTTAATAAAAGAATAACTTCTGAAATGATTTTTATTACAAAACAAACGAATGCCTTAAATAAACAAAATGATACAGAGCTGTTACCAGAGATATATTTTCCTGTGCTCAATATCAAATCTCCTACTCAATGCCAAATACTTCCCTTTCTCTAATGATATGTACATATAAAAATAACGAAGTCATGGTAGAAGTCAGAGAGTATCAAAAGTAATAACCAAGAAAATATTTGCTCTGTCTTAGTTGAATTTTATCATATGGTTGTCTGTTGTGATGCAGGTATGGAATATAGTAACTATGTGTAATACTTTCTTACAATTATTTAATTAGAATAATGTTTATAAATTTATACTAAGAAATATTATTTGTGCATAATAGAATCTGGAAATTTATGCGTCGAACAACAATCAAATTCTTGAACATCTTATTTAAAAAAAAAAAGGATTACTTCTTTAAACATATCTGAACGAAACGAGCGTATTTCATAATTGAACTGACAAGCAAGAGTTGTATTTTTTATATCCTTTCATATATTATGTTAATTTAATCTAAAAATTGTACTAAATTTGTTATTTTTATACTGAAGATGGTCTGATTAAGACCGAAACGTTTATACTTTATCTTATTTTGTTTTAAATTAATAAATCTTTATTATTCGCTTCTAAGACTTTCCGTAGTGGTGTATGCCCTTTATGATATTATTTATGAGGTTTTATGAAAATATACTTTCATGCATATTGCGTCAAAAAAAGATAAATAGCAAGCGGTCGTTATCGCATTTGCGATATTACACTATTTAGAGTCATTCGGGGTAAACGCGCGCATTAGGTAAGTGTGCGAATTGTCTATATCTCAACGGCAGGGGAAGATGGAAGTTAGTTACTGTCAGCCGAATAGTGACGCTTGCATACCAGTTAAAATTAAACAGTAGCTGGAACTCTATGCACAGTAATCAAATAAATATACGCATAATTATAAAACAGCACGTAACATCGATAGATTTTTGACTGCTGGAAAAGTGTGTTACGTCAAATTAAGGAAGAAAAGATAGGTATGTACATGTTTTATACATAGTATAACAACGTAAGTTTATATTGCGTAACAATATTTAAGGTTGTATTGACTATTATTAGTACTAAGATTTAGTTTTTAAAAACATTGACTTTGGGTGAAGTGTACGTGGACAAGTGTACGCATATGCTTAGCTGTGTCTCTGGCCACGTAGGAAAGTTTATTGAAAATTTATTATTTTAATTTAAGTAAAAATGTTTAAGCTAGTAAGCAATAATTTTTTATTTTAATTTTGAATAAATGTGATATACATTTAATTGTTGATTTAAATGTGGTATACATTTGGTAAATATCTCTACCAAAATCTCTATGTGTGGAAAAACTGTAACGTATATTATATTAAAGTTAATGCTTAAAAATGGCTTAAAAAATGTTGATTGCACACTTATCCCAAGTGCGTTTATTTACCCCGCAGTAATGCGCATGTTTACCCGCAATACGGGTCAAGTGGGCGCATTCATCTCTTCGGGATAATTTTTAATCTTGTGAAAATATGAGAACAATTGGGTATAAATTGTCATTTTTTTAAAGAAGTATAATAAATAAGCTACACAAAGATTCATATTTTTTTCATTAAAGACTGCACATTTTTAATTAATCAAACATCAAACAAAAAGTGCGCGCGTTTACCCCGAATGACTCTACATATTCAGTTCAGTTAGACTACCTAAGGAAAAAGTTAAATAAAACCGATGATTATTTATCAAGTTGTCAGATTGTTAAATAAGTATATATTTGTATCAAGACGTACATTTGAATTGGTCGCGGATTCGCATACACATGCTGAATGTAGAAAACAGAGAGCTGTTCATCCTCTGAGAGAGAGAGAGAGAGAGATTGTACCATTTTCAGATATCATCAAAATGTTTGCAATTTGCTGGCAAAATAGCAACGATTCCCACTGCAAATCCATAGCCATGTGCCACATAGAAAATCAATTGACGATAAAAGCAAGACATAAAATATAAATGAATTTTTAAGAAGTAAAAAATTTTCACACGTGGCTTGGATTCACAGATATTTCAACAGATATTTCCTATATCAATAATAATATTTATGTTTTAGAGAAAATCAATTTTAAATAGTAATCTGATAATGATAAATTAAAACATAAGAACACAGTATGTACTATTAATATGTAGAAGTAAATATACAGAAGTGACTTTAATTAAAAACAGATATCAGTTAGTCGTGAAACACAGACCTAAACCGAAACTGGAGTAACGAAAAAGAACAAATATAACCGTTGGACATCGAATAGTGATAACAACATGTATTTCTGTAATATGTGTTTGCACTGCTTGCAGTGTTGAGCGAGATTATATATTTCTGCTGCGTACCAAAAACACACATTACGATGCAGTTATGTAACTGTTACAGAAATGTTTCAAATTAAGATAGTATGTCTCGCCCTTGTGATTATAGTGGGTTATGTATTTCAATCCATCTTCTTTTAAAGAATATGAATCTAAAGTAATTTATATATTAATGATTTGTACTGTTTAGGATGGTTCAATTTGATGCCGAAATCTACGGTTTGTGAATCAAAGTATGTTAAATTGAATCATTAAATGATTTTTTATGTTAAATTTATTGCACTCCATTTACCGTGTCGACTCCATAACAGCCCTTGTTTTACCGCGTTTTGTTCAATAAATGTAGTGTTATAAATAATGGGAAAGCATTTATTTCATTTAATAAAAACGTTAATTCATTGATCTAAAAAAATTTAGAGATTTTTATTTTACAATTAAAAAATAAACAAGATAAATGTAAGACATAAGATGATTATGAATTTTTTTGGAAAATAAAAAAATTTCACGTTGCTTGGATGCACAGATATTCCAATGTCCTACGTCAATAATAATATTTGTTTTTTTTATCGCGTATGCGAATAAAATATAAAAAGAATCGAAGGTAGTAAATGTCGGAATTTTTTTTGTACATATATATATGTATATACATATATATAAATTATAAGTATACATGTATGGGTATAAATATACATTAATGTATATATTAAATCGATTTAACAAAGACTTTGCACAACTATCTTAATTTATTTAAAATGCATTGACATTATATCGTACAATTGATAAATATAAATGCATTTTATTGTATTGAAACTGCAAAACATATTCTCGAACGCTTTTTTTATGACTAAACTCGTCCATTAAACTATCTATATTTAACAGTTATACTTGGTCCTTGTTAACGTTCATTACTGCCACATTATTCAGTCTTTTCTGACTTATTGTACTTCTTAATACGTTTTCAGACTTCTTAGTGCGTTAAAAGATCGCTCGCAAGTGCAGGTAGAGTTTGGTATAGTTAATAAAATTCTGATGAATTTTGTGAATTCATAAACAAAATTACGGACCGATTAATTCTCGATGGGATGCCGAAGATACATAAAGTAGGCGATCCTTTACGTATAATTGTAAGTTGGATTAACAGTTCTCAATACCCATTGGCAACCTATATAAAAACAATTATAGAGAAAAGCATTAAAAAAGATATTGGAAATATAAAAAATAGCTTTGAATTGGTAAAAAATTTAAACGGTTTTATTACATTTCTACGATTTTCGATTAATTCTCCTTTAAGAACACGACTACATGTTTCAAGGACTTCATATTAGTTGTGGACGTTATCGTTGAAACGTTATCGTAGAAGTCGAAGTGCCTGGATCGAGTAATAGATATCTTTTTTGCATTGAATCTATCCACATTTGTTAAAATTCGCACAAATTTGAATTTTTGTTTCTCAAATCTGGAATTTCCACATGCCAGATATTTGGCTTGTGGATAAATACACATTAATACGTGTTTGCGAGGTGAAATTTATGCCGAGAATGACAAAAAATTTCGAAGTTGAAATCTTAAGTTTTTTTTATCGTTTTTCGGCATAAACTCCACCTCACAAATACGTATTTAATGTGTATACTTTAATCCTGAAAAAGGATTTTCGAATCTGTGAAAAAGAAAAAAATATTTGTTATACAAAAATTACGATTTAATCTATAATACAGACGACTTTAGGATCCTTTTAACTGGACGTGAGTGAGATGGGTATCTCATATCCAGACATTTTTAAAACAAATATTTTTGTTTGTATTGTGTTTCGTGGAACTCCACTCTCTTAGTAGCTGAAGGGAAGGGTGTGGAAAGGGGTTTGCATTTTTAGGAAATAATTATAATCTAGCGTTTAAGTGCAAAAATAAATAATTTCAAACACAAAACTGTTATTTTATTATGTTGATACGTTTAGGACATCCAGGAGAAAGTAATATAATATAATAACGAATCATTATATAGTATTATTATAAGCAAAATCTTTGAATAAATATATAGGTATATGATATCCACCTCATAGTCGGTGTAATAATTATCTACTTCATTCACGCCGCATTAAGATATATTTCCATTTCTTTTTTTAGTATACTGTGTATCTACTCGAATAGTGAGAGGGGCAGATTGAAGTATTTATACCGCAGCGGATCAATGTCTGTATTATATTTTTGATCATTAATCTTAAGTCAATGTTTCAGTCAACTTAAGTCAACTTTCAAGACAAATTCGTATCCAGAAAATCCCGTGTTTACGACATTATTACCTGTAAGCTATCCACCATGATGAAAATGAGACATCCTTTGTTTACTCTGCTAATTCTGTCGATGATGACTGTAAGCTTTGGAGACAAAGTGAAAAATATATATACATGGAAATTTCCTGATTTTGAATGGCTCTCTAAGAAACAGGAGGAAGACGCGATACGTTCTAATATCTATAATCCTTCCAGCTGCGTGTTTGAAGATGCAAATGAAGCAGAAGGTAAGTTGATGGTAAACTATTCAAAAACGTTGTAATGTGATTTTGCAGGGAAGTAACTCATTACTTGTAAATAAGTTACACTTATTACTTTTTTCAATAACTATAACTTAATTTCATTCCTTTTTTCCCATCTGTAATTATAATTTAATTTAGTTACATTACTTTTATTAACTTGTAATCAATTCAACAGTTACTTCGCTTGTTTCCACACCCAAGGACTTCGATTCTTTCCCTCGGAAATGTTCACAAACTGAGAAATGATCACCTTTCTACATTAAAAGGACATAAGGATTTTCTACACATTGGACGTAAGATTTAATCGCGTATGGACTATGAGCATTAATGCAGAAAAGTGGTCATTTCTCAGTTTGTGAAAATTTCTGAGGGAAAGAATCGAAGTCCTTGGGTGTACATTTAGATTCAACGAAGAATTAAAGACAAAAACTAATCATATTAAAGAATTATTCTTCATAGTATAAGCCTCCATAGTATAAGCTGAGTGCGTTCCAAAACAAAATTATAGAGTTTCGATCAAGTATAGTTACATTTTGAGAAGCAGCCCAGAGCTACCATATTGTTTTTTAAATTTAATTAACTCATGTATTTATTATTTAATATTATGTGGTTTAATATTACATAAAAAGAATCAGAAAAGAGCATTATAGAAAGTTCCTTGTTTAAGAAATATTGCTAAGTTTTATATTAAGAATGTGATATTAAACTAAAAAGAAGAGAAGAATTAAATGATAAATATGACAAAGAAGAATCAAAAGTAATATCTTTTACAAGTAGAATTAAAAATTAGATACAAAATTTCGGGAAAGGGTTTCAATCTTCCAAATCTTTCTCTAAATTCGTAATCAATGTTAAATGTAACGATCAATATTAAATCTTACAACTTTAAGCTAATTCTGAGCTCTACTAACTACATTCGATTCTTATTTTCCCTATGATTTTCTTCGAAACAAATACATCAATTTCGCAAACGTAAATTGCGTTAAAAAAATTCTTATAGATGGAAGACTATTCATTACTATTACCAACATAAATACACGTGCTTCACCTGTTTCTTTAACGACAGTAACTAATAAGACAGGACTAGGAGGTCCAATTTTACGACCATATCCTGATTGGAGTTGGTATAATAACAGCTATATGTGTGATGGTATTATAAATGTTTATCGAATAGACGTAAGTATATCAATATCTTTCATTCAAGAAAAATTCCTTACATTTATATGTAATAATATATTAAAGAGATCAACAGTTTATTAAATATTACATACAACTACACGCACAATAGGATAAGTTTGACAATATATATATGAAATAGAGTTTTTATTTTTATCTTAGATTCAATGCAATCATCTCTTCGTTCTGGATGCCGGCAAATTCGGAACCGATCAAATCTGTAATCCAAAACTATTGATTTTCAATTTAAAAGATGATACGCTAGTTAAAACTATTTACATCCCAATTGATATTGCTACTAACAAAACGGGCTCTGGATTATTGATTATGCCTTTGGTTTATATTCCAAATGGGAAATGTACGCAGTTTCTGGATGAAATGATAGTTAGTATATCATCTCTTTCATTAATAGTAGTACATATTCATCTGTATAAATATATTTAATAATTTATTATATATTATTTAATAACACTTTTAATTATATATCTTCTTCAGTCTTATTTTGCGTGACTTAATATATCTACATATTATAAATATACACAGGTGTTTATGGCTGACTCAGAAGGTTACGGTTTAGTGGTGTATAACTCATTTACAAAGAGTATGTGCAGAATCGAATCTGATTACATGAAACCGACTGATACTTCCTTCTCTATAGCAGGCAAAAATTTTACGTATGTGGGCGGTATCTTCAGTATGACAATCATTGACGATGGTAAGTGCTTTTTAATAAATAGTATTTCAGTTGTAATACAATCTTATCCTGCATAGCAGGTCTTAAAATATTTAACTTTAATTTTACATTAATACATATCATTTGCATTCATAATTTCTTTTTTGTGATATTAATACTCATTCATTTATTAATACATTTATGCTTTAAGCGCTGGTAACAATTCATAAAATATAAAAAAAATTTTATTTAAAACCTATATGTGTTTTGAGAGTTTTCTCCGTGTCTATACCTATCCATGGAACGCCAACTGCAATGTTCACGAAACGTTGGCATTCCAAGGATGGACATAGACACGAAAATAACTTGCGAGAAACACATGATTTCTACCTCCGTCTCAAAAGTATATATAAAAAAATACTTTCCAAGTAATCAATGTAATTTTGCTGTAACTTCCAAATAATAATTCTTTTCATTCTATTTTGAATATTTTAGATCTATATTTTGCTGCTGTATCAGGAAACAAAATATACAAAATAAAAATAAAGTACCTACTAAAGTGTCCAAACGAAAAAGAGGCTAATAAACAAACTCGACTTGTTAAAAAATTATCAAGCCAGACAATAGATCTCACATCAGCAGGACAATCAATATTTTATAGCGATTTTCGGGCAATGTCTATTCTACGCACAAACGTTCATACAATATGCAATTTGAATAAAACGGTAAGATGTCCGTATGTAATTATTCTTTACGTATTAATCGCTAAAAAATTATGTCAAATGCTATTAACGATTATTATATTTAATAGTTATTTGTACGATTTTATAAAATAAAATAAATTATTATTTATTTCAAGGAGATACTAGCGCAAGACAGCGAGAAATTTCAATCTGTAAGTTCGATGAAAATTTCAAGTAATGAATGTCAGCTAAAGTGCATATCTGATAGATTTCAACATTATCCTACATTCAATACAAATGAAATAAATTTCCGTTATTTCAAAATCGATTTGTGCTAAAGGAAATACAGAATTAGAAGATACATTAGTAACTCTAAGTCCTGATTTTAAAATATATTAATAAACATATGTATAATATTTAATAAGGTGAGTAATTAAATGAGTAACTACTTATTGGGTAACTAAATGGGTAATTACTTATTGGGTGACTAAAAAAAAATATTACGAAAATTGTAAAATGATAGAGGACTTTTCGTCTCAGTTTTTTATTAGGAATAGCACTATATGATTAGTGGGCGTTATTTCAGTTACACCCTGTATATATACACATAAAAATAAGTGATTAAAGCGATGTTAATGATTGATATAGAAATAAATGATAAAATATTTTGAAAGAATTATATTTCTACAAATATAATTTCGAATTAATATTTACTAAACATAATCTCACTAAAACAAATCAGTGAATAGCATATAATATCTATAGTCATAGTTGCCGCATGATTTGATGTAAACGTGTATCTTAAAAAATTATGTCAAAACATTATGTAATAAATGACAATACATCATTTAATTAAGGAATTTCCTTAAGATTATTTTTATAACCTCTTTATTATTTATGAATGATATGCCATATGTAAAACAAATGTTTGATCTTTACATAAAAATTTCATGGCCATTTTTTCATTAAAGATATTTATTTTGTTCAGAATCCACTCTTTTATCAAGTCTTTTAAACACACAAACGAAATGAGTATTCTGAACAAAAAAGTGGTTATTTACAATATGTTGAGAATCTTTTCATTAAGCATGATGAGAGTCAAGTCCGATAATACGTTCAAATATTTTTTACGAGGTTAAAAAGAGAAAAAGAAATAAAGCTAAGAACGTTAAAAAAATCGGAGAGGATAATCATCCTTTCTATATTCTTCGCGAAGGTCTTATGATTTGTGGTTAATACCGTTTAAGAGATAAAACTCTTTGTATCAGTTATGGCATTAAAGTTCTTGCCTTATCTGGAGACACGGTAGTATCTCGGCGCTAAACCAAGCGCAGCGACACTGCCGTGCCTGGTGCCTCCTTTACGCGAGCCGGCGAGTTGTGGCAGATTGAGATTATCGAATCTCAATAAAAGCTGAATTTTAATACACACGACACCCCGCCACTCTCCAACCTCTTTGATTCTTTCGCAACCCAGATTCGCACGTTTCTCATCAAACAAAAAAAGTCTGTTTCACGTTATTTAAATATAAGTAAATTTAGAACATTATTTCCTCACCATTATTTCCCTACCTCATAAAAGCAAATCATAAATATAATGACATAAATTAAATACTAACATTACTGATTAATGTCCGCACATAATCTTAACTTTACCAATCTTTTTAGATGGCGATACTGAATCCTGCTATCTATTCATTTTCTTAAAATGCACAAAAAAAAGATCAACTATAAAAATCTTATAAAATTCTCCGTATTATCGATGAAAAGTTGAAAAGTCAACACTAGTCTAAAAATGCCGAACAGTATTTAAACTCTTATTTGAGAAACTCTAGAATGCACAAAAAATATATTTTTTAAATGCATATATTAAAAATAATAAACAAAAATTTAATTTACATAATTGCAAAAACTATAAACAATTTAATCTTAAAATCTCAGTTATAGATCATTCAGAGTAGGCTTTGAATTAAGAGCACTTCAATAGTTTACACACACTATCTTACCAAATTAATTATAAAAATTGCTAAAATTACATGACAGTTATAAGCTCGGGCGTGAATTTAAATATCAGAGGCGGTTTTGATTTTAAAAATTGAAATTTTATTCATATTTTTATAAGCAAAAACACAACAAAATTCAAGTACACTTATTTCATACATGTTAACTTCAACTAAAATATAATTGTACAGTACATGACTCGTGTGTGTAAGATGCAACGCTTTAATGTCTTTATGAATAATCGGCATACAATCGGACGCATCCGTCGAATGGAGGTCGATAATTTTGTGAAAAGGAATCTAAATGAGTCCTTGTTCGGCTACGCATGCACTGGTAAGGATCATCATTGCGGGCAAACCTTTCTGCAAGTTTTCCTCTTTCTCTCTATCTCTCGCTCTCTCTCTTTCACTCTCTTTCTCTCATCAATTTTAACAAGTCTTAACCGCACCTTGATATCTCGCTACTAACTGTTATCAAGGACAGTGCTTTGAAATAGTTACAAAAACGGCCGCCACAGAATAAGGCACACAATTGATGCAACGCGCATTTTTTTTTTCAATATAACGATATATATTCGTACTTATTCTTTAATGTTACTTTGGTGTGAACGAACGTCCATAGAGCTACGCCTAATCATCTTGGAAATGATTTATACGTATGCTTAAGGAAACTAGAACTTTGCAGGAACAATGGTGTCTACATATCGCAGCTGCGTGACATTAGGTTTCGCGTTCTCACCCTCTTTTCCCTCGCCTATCGTATCGTCATCACCAGCACTGTCTTATCGTCTCGCTAGATCATTCTCTTCTTCTTTATTACCATTATCATTAATTATCGATATTTATTATTGTTTTGCGTTCTGCTAATGCCTCAAATGACTTTATTTACACATCCTTCTGAGGTATGTTATGGGCGTTATGATATGAGATACATGACCTCGCGAACCATGTCTATCAATCGACCTACATGCAACAATTATGCAACCTAAGGTACCTTCAGTCTATTCCTGGACACAAATCAATTAAAGCGTGGGCTATGTCGTAACAAGTGCAGCTTTTCTTTATGTATATGTAAGTACACATATGCATCTTTGCAGTGCGTTCATCCGATTCCGATCGAAACGCGTCTATCGGAAAAGAAGAAAAAAAAAGAAAAGGATCGCTTCGCTTCTTCCTGATTTCTCGACGAACGTTTAGAGGTGAGATCATCCTCGTGACTCGGCTATTCGTCCAAATTTAGTGTCGAAAAAACTTATCGATTACGTCCAGTTTTAGAGATACGGAAATTTAATAAAGGGTGCCGCTTCCTTAAATTGCAGCGATCTCGAAGCTGGATACGAGAGACGATATCTTTTTACTGATTTAAATTCTGCGACACGCGAATTAGCGGAGTGTCAAGCGGGAGAAATTGATTTGGTGATGCTTGCTCTAAACGTCCGTTGAACTGCAATCGTTACATGCAGATCGTTATGTAACCGTTGTAAGATTCTTCTATGTAGATCTCATTATACTTCTCAATAACAGACTAAAGCTATGGCTCACTGTTTTATCGCTGTCCGTTTTTTTTTTTCAACTAGTACCTTCTATGAGAACGCGATATTACATCTACGCGATTATATTACGTAACGCTATTTAAAAGCATATATTATTGAACGATTCGCTCTGTCAGCCCTCCTCGGTACGTTCCCTTCTTTCTCGATTAAGAGAAAGAAAAAGGAGACTCACAATTCAACATGCGGGATATTCCGATAATGCCGAGTTAAAAATTGCGAGCAGTCAGAACTTTCCTAAGCAAAGGCCATCCAATGTGATTACGTGCAACAATAACTCCTAGTCTTTTAACATTCGTGTCTTTTATATAGATTCTAAAAATAATGCTCTTGTCATTTCGACTGAGTGGTATTACGAGATATCGTAGCGAGAATAAAAACAACAGTCTGGCATCTCCTATGCCCTCTACACTTCTCCATATACGTGTACTTCTCTTCGTTCTCCTCTTTCACTCTTCTTTATTTATTTCATCCAAAATAAAATTCGCGCTTTTTCCTATGATAACCCGGAAAAAAACAACGTATTGCCTCTTAATGATATAAGTTCAGTCCAGATAAAAGCTGAACGCTGAAACGTTACGAATCTCTGTCTTTGATTACGAATAATGACATACGACAATGCTTATAATGATAATAATGGTAAAATGCTATCGTAGAGTGACTGCTACAATGCATGCTTCCACACACATAAAATTTTGAAAGTTTTCCCACAGAAAGTTATACATCACAAACGAACTCTTAAAACTATTTACAAAAATGGATCGCGATTCGCGATGCTTTTCAAATAACATTTAGTTTTCTTTGAGCGTGTCACTGAACTTTCAAAAGAATATCGATTCATTAAATCTCCGTCCAACGGAGATAAGACATTTGCTTTTGTATTGTGAGAGGGGTGCATATTACACGTACATATACGTGATATACCCGGAGAAAGCACTACGCCCTGGCCTATTTCAAAAAGCATGGCCCTGACGCGATTATATAATTATATATTATTATAATATAAGATATGTTACAATAATATATATTATTTTTTTCGTTTGAAAAAGAGTTTGCGCGATTGGGTATATCTTCTCGATATTATTGTATGTTGCAGCACACCGCTCTGCACGGTATCGGACCGTCGCCGTTCTGACCATACAACGACCTTTGCCCGAACATCTTCGAATCGAACGATAAGAACGGTGATTTTCCGTTGTAACAGCTTTCGTATACCTCGAACGCCTCGTCGATGGGTATCTTCTCATCCGCTATGGTAACGTCCTGATTTTTGTCCGGTAAATAGATTGGGATCTCCTCGTCACGGAAATACCCGATTGTTTTGTCCTCCGGATCATTTGGCACTGTTCTCGACGAAATTACCGATGTGCTAAATTCGCTTGACTCTTCCTCCGTGTTGACGGTATCCCGTGCGAGTCTGTAATACCTCTGCACGTGCTCCACGAAAGCTTTTTCGACCTCGATGTTATCGTCCTCCGCCGCCTCGCCTTCGTACAGGACTCCTGGGCTTTGCAGTAGCCTTTTTGGGGTTATCACAGGTTCCACAGTTTCTACTTCCCAGCACTCCAACACGTCGGGCTCCTCTATGCTGACCGAGGATCCTATCATTACGCTATCGTTTTCGTCGTTCTCGCTGCTGTTCTTGCTGGTCTTCTCGCATATCTCCACGTTCTTGTTAATCACGTCGACGTAAGCAGCGGTCTTCGCGACGGGATTACCATGAAAATTAAACGGCACAGGTTCGTACGAAGACGTTGGTAACAATCTGCCGTCTTGCGAAACGATGATCTCCCCCTTCTCGAACGTTCGTACGCTCACCATACTATCCTCGCTCGTTCCTTTATCCTTTCCATCGTTTAAATTGTCTATACGTCGCATTTTGATATCGATATTCTCAACAGGATTTTTACTGATTTTTCTTAATGTCTTCATTCGTCTTCCGTTAACTCTCTTCGAGTTTATCCGAGAACTTAAAGCAACCCTCATACCCGCAACGCTATCCTCCTGAGTAAATTCGCAAACGTCACCAACATTATTCTTCGGCTTCTCTTTCGATCTCACGGCAGTGACAAAGTTCAACGAAACCAACGAAGAAACTAACTGGCTCTGCGTTTTCTCATCGACATTCCTGTTCCGTTTGTCGTTTCTCTTTGCCGTTGTTTTTCTTTTTACAACTTTCGCGTCCCTTTTTCTTCTGCCGATTGATGTTGAATCAACTTCCATCTGATCATTCCTGGCGTTGTTGTTGTTGATGTTATTGTTGTTGGTCTTTGCGAATTCGCCGCAGCTAGCCGTGCACGACAACAACGTGACGTTGTCAACACCGCTATTAGCAGATAGTGCAGGCATGGGGTTGCCTTGCAAGTTTTTTGGCGGCTCTCTTGCATCTATTTCTTCCTCGTCTGTCTCGCTCTCCGAGGTCGACGCCGACGTTATGAAAAGATCGGGCGAGTTCGCTCGACGCAGCCACTCCTTCACCGCAGCTGTAATAGGATATTTTTTCGACATCCGAGTTTGGCTCTCAAATCCGGAATCCTCGTTCGAGCCTTCGATTGTATCTCGATTTGTCGTTTTGATCGTGCTCTCGTTATGTACCTCCAGTGCGTCTACCTCGTTCGCTACCTTCCGCTCCGTCTCATCCAACTTATCATTCACAACATTGCATTTGCAATCTGCGTCTGATAGCTCGACAGCTTCGAATTGTTGTACGATTTTGCTCTCCACATCCAAATGTGCGGAGTCATCCAAGTCCGGCCCAGGCGTAGATTCCCTCACGAATTTCAGACCCTTCTTGTTGTACTTCCTGGGCAATCCAAGTGACGTTGTTCGCGTAACGGACGAATTGTTGCAACATCGTAATCGTTGAACTTCCTCTTTTTCGTTGACATTTATCGTTGTTAAATTGGAATCATTTTCTTGAGGACTCATCGATATTGACTTTGACGCCTTTTCCGTTAAGTCGGCAAAATGTTCGTAGTTAGTATCGCCGTTAACTAAATTTTCTTCAGGGCATCTGACGCCATTATCCAATGTATTTGTATTAATGTCGTTACTATTATTTTCGAATGACTCATGCTTCACATTGGCACTGGTCAAATCGCCATCGTTCTCCAAAGAAATATCAGTCCTGGAAGGCGATTCGTAATCAGTAGGAGCACTGCTCCTTATCTCAGTAGTCTCGTTCGTTATTATCGCTTCCATATTCACGACTAGATGATTCGCTTGACTGTTAATTTCTGCGTTCCTGTCTCTGGGCATGTGTCCAACTGTCGACGACTGAATGTTGTCTAAAGATGTCTCCCTAACTATTTGCTCTGAATTACGGATTATTGTTTCTTCCTGGTTCGTTAGACTTTGAGCAGTTGACAGGTCGCACACCTCGGTCTCGCGACTGGCGGATTCCGTCTCGGTGTAAGATGACACATCCGGTGCGTCATTGACAGACGACGTGACTTCTTCGGCCACAGTGGTGACGGTGGATGTCGAAACAGGAGTAGACAGGATTCGCGATTGCAGGTCCGGCCGTAATTGAAATTCCTGGCACTCGGGATTAAGCGGTCGATTCGCGGCCGACGTCGTTGTAATCGCGATCGAAGTCGGACATTCTGACCAAGGTAGTCGGGAAGACGATACATCATTATCACATTCGGAACTGTATTCCCCTTCTTCTTCATCTTCGGTGTTACCCTGAATTTAATCACAAGGAATGATTAGAGTTTAACCGAGCATTTATATCAAAAATGTTTTGCAAAAAAAAAAAATTATGATAGTTTTAGTGTTCGTATTCATAACATTTTTAATATATGTTCCATACTAATAACATATATTACTGTTATTACATTTTAATCGGTTCATATTTATGTTAATTATTTCTTCCACAAAAGCAGTTTTAAAGCTTTTTTAGCATTTATCTTATATTATATGAGTTTTATCGACTTACCAAAGTAGGTCTTCTCTGTTTTCTTTTCTTTCTCTTCTTTCTTCGTTTGGCGCACGCCATTGTCATAGCTGTTACGTCCATAGTTCTCACCAATGGCCCGCCCTGGATGGTAACACCTTGGACAAAAAAAATCGTCGCACGTTATTGGTCTGTCGAAAGATACGAGGACTGGTCAACGAATAATATTTTAGTGCGACATTTGGCGACCCGATGAGCAATTTTCTCAATTGTATGATTGAAGAAGAATGATGACTAGAACGTGCCGGAGCTGTCACGAAAAGTGAACCTAGCTTTTCACTATTTGTCTGTGCCTTCTGACTTCTCATACATCGAAGCGAAGCAACACGTAAATGTTATTTTTAACAAGTTCTATTTGAGATGTAGCAACGCGCTGTCGTTGCCAAACTATCACCTCGCGTCTTTTGCGTAGCTAAAACATATTTCCGACAATAAATTGTGCCGGTGCGACCATGGGACGTATTTTCTCGTGCAGTGGCCACGAGTCAATGGACTCTCGCATGAGATATGCTTCATTACTGGTGCAATGTGAGAACAATGAGACAATACGGCGTGTAGCAGCTGTGAAAAGTATATCGATTGATATTTATGCGAATGACATATGTCGTTAGTCGCGAGCGACAAACAGACAAATTCGAGCGTGTTCAGAGTTGGAACTTTAGGAACGATCGTGAAGAATGAACTACATGTACATTGGACTAATCGTCGGATACTCTCGACATGAAAAAAATGCCGAACAGTTTCACGATACTATTTCACGAACCTGCAGGGGTTCAAGGCTCCCACTTCCACGATCGTGTCTAAAGCGTGATACCTTTTTTGCGAATTATTACCTTTTACCTTGAATGTGGTAGAGGCACGGCAGTAATATAACAGCAATGATGTCGATGGACGGGACAGAAGTCATGAATCGGGGCATATCCCTTTTCCTTGGCCGCGCTTCCGATCGACACTGTTCTCGTTTAACATTAGAAATAGGTACAATCAAGCGTACTACGGCCAGTGTAGCGCAGTACGAGGAAGGAGCGTTTAATTAGCACAGATATAAATAATTCAATAATTGTGCAACATCGTTACTTTTTTCTACAATTTTTTTCATTTCATCCTGTTAGTCTTTACATTATTGTTAGTTTATGCAGTGATTGATTGCATACAATGTTATCTCACATTATCTTCCCTCAAACCAAATCTTTAATCAAATTGACTTTATAAAATTATTCAGACACCAGCAGTTTTTTAGCATTATTATATATGCAGTATAAACATTAAAAATTGTTTAAAAACTATATTTTAAAGTTGCTAATAAATAACAAACACTTTGGACAATTTCAAATAAACAAATTTCAATCTTACCTTGATTCAATTTTCATAATCCTGTTTCTATTATCTATATTATAAATCTACAATATAATTCGAATCAATTTCTAATAATTAACAAACATTATAGGTTTTAAAGAGTAAAAAATATATTTTTTGTATATTTTTTCTGATACGACTGTTACATAATAAATTGTACAAATCGACCGCGCTAACACTCCCTCCCCGAAATGCGCTTTTTTTCTCTTAAACGCAAACGTGGGCAATCAACACACTTGTCCGTTGTTCCGTCCATCCGACTGTGAACAGAACGAAGGCTACGAGCGCGAATGTAGATCTGCTCATGCAAGTAGCAGAGAGCAAATACAGATTTTGCCAATCCGTATATTATAGCACGCGTACATTACTGAGGGGACAATTCCGAATCCTAAATCTACCTATCTCGTAACTAACCATTAACGTTGACCAAGGGAGGTCCAAACATATAGTGACCAGGATACATGTACGGCTGCGGCACGGCTGGCACCATATGTGACATATGCATTGGCTCTTGCATCATTAATGGATCTAGGTAAGGATCGATCGTCGTCATGCCGTTCTCTAAATGTTGTTGTCCCTCGAGATGCAATGGCTCCTGTGGTTGTTCTTCTATAAGCTGCTCTTTCACGGTATGCTGCTCCATAGTCGCATTTTCTGTCTCTTCGACTTGCTCCTCGATCTCCCCGGCTACGCTGCCACTACAGCTAGCGCTACCAGTACCGCTCTCATTCCACATACTGTTGGAAGCTTCCGCTGTCACTATCGTGCCGTTCTGCTCCTCCACTATCGTGACCGGTTCTGTACTTTGATTAGTCTACAAATAATTATATAATAATCAAATAATAATTAATTAATCAATATATAACTGCTCAGTAAACGAGAATGGATTAAAATGGATTGAAATTTTTTCTATCCAAATGCGTATTTTAAATAGCGAATACTTTTTTTTTATTTAATTGGATTCAATTGGATTCAACTGGATGCAATTGGATTGAAAAACTGCATTTCCTATTCAAAATTTTGAATTGAACAGTATTCACAATGCACAGAAAAAGCTCATATTATTTTTGAAAGGCATAGAGATATGCTCCATGCAATTCCTATAAATGAATAAAAATGCATTCAGGCTTGAAAAGCATTCATTTTAACATTCGTGAATCCATATTTCTGAAAATCTGAATTTATTTCAATCCAATTCAATTTATTCTCGTTTGCTGGGTGTTGTAATTGTTATAATTGATTAGAATTAATACAAAGTAAACTTTTTTTAAGCGCAATTACAGAACTTTAATATTATAATAACAATAGACAATTCAAAATATTGTTTAAATTGATTCCCAAATAGATATTCTATTTATTATTCAATTATAATATTTGTATTCTGAAATTTCTGTGGATTTTTATACCAGTGAATTTTATTCTGTGGATTTTTATTTCAATCGAACATCTAATGGAAATATATGACAAATAAGATTTCGAACTACCTGATAGTCCATTAAGCAATATGGTTGATTGGCAAGTTTAGGCACGAACGCAGGATTAATCCACTCAATCGGTCTTAGAGGAACCGGACCACAAGGTACAGTCGCTAGAATGTTTGGTCCAACTTGAGCAGGTACTGGTGCAGGTCCAACCAACATCACAGGATATTCATAATAGTAGCCGCTTCCATGATCGTAAAATGTTCCATATCCTAATTGCGCTCCTGACGACTCTGCCATGGGCGGATATTCTCCCGTTCCACTGTCCCTATCCAATAGTTGCTGGTCCTCTGTAGTTTCGCTGCCGTCTACAAAAACGTTGTCATTTAAATATGTTCTCATTTATCGGCAGACTAAATATATTAGCAGCAGGATGATAAAAACTTTCTTCAAGTGTCGCTGTACAAAAAACGAAAGGCTTGTCTCGAGTAAATACGTGCAGAGTATATACGAATAGACGCTTATTATTAGACGTTGGAATTCACGTCTCGACAATCCAGCAATTTGTTTTCCATATTAGCGATTTATGAAATTAGAATATTTTAACTTAGTTGACTCGTTAATGATAAAAAAACAAGTCATCTTGGCCATAAGTATTAAGCACTCTCAATTCACTGCATTTTCTTGGAAAAGCGATAATAAGAGGAAAAGGAGGGGAGGAAGAGAGAGAGAAAGAGAGAGACTAATAAAATATTAAAATTATTATAAAAATAAATATGATTTTGCAACAAAATTGATTTTAATTAATTTTTTGTTAAATACAAAGAACGTTTACGTTATTGAGACTGCTCTGTATTTATGGCCAAGGCTGTAGTTTGCTGGCGTTTTAGTACCACTCGTCAGTGGCATTTAGCATTCAGTAATACATTTATCCTATACAATAACCACCTGCGGTGGAATGTGATGCCGATTGACTCTCCGTAGTCGACGGCGTAGCGCTGGTGCTCGCGTTTCCAGTCCAAGGCTTTTTGCGCGACAGATAGCCCTTTTTGAAGAGAACGTCTTGTCGCGGTGTCGTGATTCTCGTGTACTCCTCCTCATTGAAGATGATTTTAGGCTGCGACGGTGAACCCGCGCTCTCGTCTCTGTGCGATCTCGAGCCGCTGCTGGCGTAGCCGCTCGTACTTCCGCCGCTGGTGCTGGTACCAGCCCGACGCGGCTTGTAGCCACTCTGCTGTCCATTCCGATCGAAATGTATGTGCACGTTCGTCTCCTTCTCCTGACTCTTCACATAGTCTTTTCGCAAACCCTCTTCCTCATCCTCTTCACCGGGTGGAGCTGTTGAACCGAGCGACGTAATTAGTACTCAGGCTCACAAACTGCATGCTGTTGTCTTCAATTAGAATCAAGTTAATAATTTGCGGTAAATAATTAATAAATATATACTTCCGCAAAAAGAGAAAAACATTCGCATTGTTTTTAATAATTCGAATCTTAAAATACCAGAAAGATATTTTAAAGATATTTATCTAAATAAAACACATCGATTTTATAGATATTTTTCTGTAAATATAGTATTTTTTACAACTATAGTACCGCATCCAATCATACATATATTCGCAAAGAATGATTTTGTTAAAGTATTTAAAAAGATTAACATGATAAACAAAATTTCCGAAATAAGTTTCTCAACGAAATGAAAAGGACTAATGGGAATTAGCGTTGCAGACAGTGCATAATTATGTATATATATATATATATACAAATTCGAATTTAAATTCTGACATGGCAATGTGCTAACATCTATTTGTCATATTTTGTAAGTTTAATTTTACTCTGTGACTACTGTACATTTTTTTACATTTAGAACTGTTACTTTTTAATTTGTTATTACACATTGTATTTTTTCCACTATTATTGTATATATTATTGGCCAAAAACATTCTTTTATTTGTTTACTGAATAGTTGCGTTTTAATGAGATATCTCAGTAAATATTTAAATACTTCACCAAAATCGTTTTTTCTGTACATTTGGATTTTCATATAGAGATATTTAACATGATAGACATCAATTAGTGGATTTAATTTCTAGGAAATTAATGCTTCATCCGCATACGTACGTAATGTAAATTGTAAAAAGTGAACACAAGTGAACGCGTATAATTGTAGGTTGTCAGTCGCGTTTCATAACGAGAAAAAATGTAAGATATTTCCATGACGTCTCTGGAACGATCACTTCGCACGTTGTATTTAACGCACGAAACTATATCCTTCTAAATGTAATTTGTATGAAATTGATTGTATCACACAGGAAGTGTTTGTAAAATTGATTGTTTAACAACATAGTGTAAGAGCGCTCCATTCAGAAAAAAAAACAGCAACACTAATTCGTGCAAAATATGTACATGAATTAATGTGCTTTATGTTCGCCTCGTTCAAAATTTTATATATACAAACACAATAGTTTAATATGTATAAGTATTAATAGAATTATAAACATTAATAGAAGTATAGATATAATAGAATCAAATGGATAAACGAAAAAATTCAAAATCTCGAAACTGTAATGAATTTCGCGTTTTATAGCTTCGAGACTGTATTTCAGAAAGTTATTTAAATTATTCAACTAATGACATGGACGAGGAGCGAATGAATTATTTAATTTATATATAAACTACGATAAGAGAAATTTCGCACAGTTTTTTTTCACCTTTTTCTACATTCCTCTGCTTAAATCGATGCTCTTTATAAGGGTGATTCTAAATAAATACAAAAAATTTTAGGAGATAATTTTTTGTCAAAAATTGAAGGGGGTTTTTCATATAATATATACTCCCTTATATCCCTTCCTGAAAAATTGCGCTCCTTCAAGGTGGAGATAAAAATAAAATTTTTATTTTTCTTTTTAATAAATATCCCCCAAATATCTTTTTTACTAGTGGAAAATGTCTATTAAATTTTATTTTTCTAACTTTTTTAAAATTTGGAAAAAAAATAAAAATTTAATTTTTACCTGTCCCTTTGAAGGAATGTAATTTCTCAAGGAGGGATATAAGAGTATATGTTTATACGAAAAACTTAATTTTTAACAAGAATCATCTCCTAAAAAGACCCCGCACAAATCGTATGGAAAAAAGGCTTTGATCAAAATCAGAAAAAAAATCTCACACTCAATTTACAAAATATCACAATTTCAGCCAATTTAATCGAAGCCATTTTTTCCATATGATTTGTGCGGGAGTTCTCTTTCGCACTTATTTAAAAACACCCTGTGTATATCGATTCCACATTTTACACAAGTTATGATCGTCACGTGCAATTATGTTGAGATGATGTTTCCGTACCATCTTGGTACCTCGCTAACAGCAGCACATGATTCGAGGAGCCGATCACGTGGGTGACCTTCTTCTGCCGACGCCACTGCATCGCACCCTTGATGTTATCTTCTCTTTAGGATTATCCTGATTGCTCGACGAGCAACACCGCTCCTCGAGGACGTTCCGACCAATCGATTCGTTTTGAATGTTTGGTGCTTGACGTAGATCGAGAGATCGATTCAGGGACATTCACCGCGGTCACTGATAAAGGGATGGCAGTAACGAGTAATATGCATCGCACACGATGCCTCGAGAACGACTGCAATCGGTACGGGGAAGGGGGTACACACGCCGGACGAGACGAAGAGCGAAGAGCCCGCGAGGGATGTATTTGTGCGTACGGTAGCCGGGAGGACGAGTTGCCCATTGGCTGCCTCCACCGGTACCAGAATAGCATCAGAATTAGAATAGAAAACGGGCTACCAAGCTATTGGCGACTGATGTCTTCATCTGAGTGCGAGTGAAAAATCGTCCTTCATTTTTGATCGATCAATTCTTTACGAACTGAATCGATATTGTAGATTAATTCCTATAGACATTAATCGAAATATCTATGAAAATAAATGTAAAAAATATTTAAATAAAGTGTAATGGCAATATAAATAAATCAAGAAAATATATTAAGATATTATATTTTAAATAACAAAAAGAATCCCATTTTTGAGAAGCGAATTTTGCGAATTGTGCTTAATTATACTCATATATTTAATTATTTACAAATATTTTTTTTAAGTTATAAACTGCGTGTCGATTCAATTTATTTCGGACTTGAAACGCAATATAAATTAAAGTTGGAAATAACATCACAGATACATTGATCATCAAATTAATAATGATGCTAATAAACATCTTAAAACACTGCAAAGAATTTTTTGCGAAAAATATCACCTTACCCGGGATTTAAACTCCCAGTATTATTTCAATATTTCATTTCAGTAAAATTGAGAATGAAAATTTCATTAGATTCAGGCAGACGGTTTGTTACTTCTATATTAAGTTTCGCTTTTAAATAAAATTACTAAATCTTGAATCTTTTAAACTGAGAGTTTCTTCTAGATAAAAAAAATGTTTGAAAAGTAGTTATTTTCATTAATTAAGAATTATTTCAAAATTATAGAAGTTTTTATCTTTACATCGCTTTACGCAGCTTTTAGATAACAGTAAAAAATTGAAAAAGTATATATTATTCAATGGCAATTTAATACTTGTGTAATTTTATTGTGGAACACGACTCGTAAACGGGATTCGAGTCATCGTCGATAAAGAGTATCAAATACATATATCAATGTATTCTCGCTTTAACGTTTACCACATTGCGGAAGTCAGAAGGTAAATAATTATGGTCGCAGGTCCATAAATTTACCAGTTACTTTTTCGAGACCATTTTCTAATAAGACTAAGCAACAAATTTTTCTGATTTGGAGCACGAATGTTCACTGAGAGCAATTATAGTATAAGCACTAAATGGAGTGCTAATTTGTGCTGATGATGCATGATACTGAAAGGAAATTAGTATCTCAGGAAGGCAGACATATATTTGCAGCTAAAAATATTTTGCGGTTCATGCCGTTTTATCCAATTATCATTATTTTTATAATTATTATATCATCAGATTTTTCAAAGATCTTATCTTCTCCTAATTCTTATTTTATTTGTTTTTATTAACTCAATCTCTTACTATTAATATAATCTTTCGGTAAATCGCAAATTTTGCATAAATCATTTTAAGTGCTTAAAATACTTCTAAAAAACATTTAGATTTTGTTGTTATTCTTTAATTAAAGATTTAGAAAACAAATAAATATTTGATTTATTTACAGAACAATTATATAATTTCTACATCGCAATGTAACTTTACATAAAACAATCATACTTGAAATATTTATATTAAAAAATTAAAATTTTGGTCATTATTTTATAATATATACATATACATTTCCATACATTTCTATTAGAGTACACTGAAAAAAAAGATTGGCTGCTGCAGTAAATTAGATGGTAAAATATGGCATAGCATTTTTAATTGGTTGCAGCAGTCAATTTAAAAAAATATTATTTATTAAAATAACTTTAATACAGATGGCAAATCGGTGCTAATTTTTTTGTATTACTTATTTTAAATGCGATCTATAGAATATTCTGAAACTTTTATAATTTTTTTTGTTATTTTGAAATATCTATTTAATATGCGCACAGAGAAATTGGGAATGAAAAAAAGAGCGGAAAGAAGAAATTTATCTATGAATTATTCGCCTGCAAGACGAATTATTTTTGAAACGTAATGCCGAGTGTCGTCCCAACACATGTACATATCATACGACATATCGCATTCTCGTTCCAGATTCCGTCTTGGTTTACATTTCAAGCGAACCGTGTGTTAAAACGTCTAGATATCGTGCAAGTATATTAATATCTAGATGGTACATTTCATTGATCGTGCAAGCGGTCTAGTGCTCGCTGTGTACATCGAATGCATATCCTTCGTACTCAGATATTATCTCTCAAATTCCAATTTGAGAGATAATACCTGAGATATCAATACAATGTATTAAGATACTAATAAGTAAACCCGTGTTCGTTGCATTTGCATCTTGCAAACATACTCGATCCTCAACATTGTGCGTTCGCCCATGTACCATGCAGATCATACAATACATTACGAAAAATTGTCCTTGGTGTCGAAAATAATTTTTCCTTGAAACCCGTATTGCTGCTCGAACGTGCCTTACAATGTTGTATAATATTGCTCGAAGTTTTAATTTTCAAAAAATTCACCGTTTTATATTCACGGTTTATGCGTTACAAAAATTTTTAAGAAAAGAAATTTATGAGAATATACGTTTTATGACTAGCAAATTATAATATAATTGTTGATTATAATTGCATATTTTTATGTGATTAAATTTCAAACTGAAAATTAATATATAGAACCTTGAAATTAAATGAAAAATTTGTGGTGA